TCTAAACTATGTTACTATTTCAGTAAAATTCTACCTTGTATTTAATAGGCCATTCTGTTCTATAATTTGGTTTTTGTTGTTGTTTATAGAACTGTCTCTCTCAGGTAGCCCATGCTGGCTTCAAACGCACAATGTAGCTGAGGCTTGACCTTCAAGTCCTCATCTTCCTGCCTCTGCCTCCCAAATGCTGGGATTAAGGGTATGCCACCCAGTTTGCTCTTAATTAAAAGCTTACACTGCCGCAGGAATTGAGCCAAGAGGATAATTTATTTGTAATCACAATTTCCAAGGGCCAAAACACAATTTTGTAACTATGCTCACATTATAGCACACAGTTTCTGTTTAGATTTGGAAAGGTCAGATCTTACAAAATCTGCCCTCTTCACATGCTGAGAAGAGCTTCCTCCCGGGAAGTCTGGAGTACCCAGCAGTGAGCACCCAGCCTTCCGGCCCATCCCCACCAGGCACTGTGCACGTCCTGGGCCAGAGGACACCTGGACCACACCTCATCAGTGAAACAGCCCTTCCCTTTGCTGTCTCCTCTTATTACTCACATGCTATGCACCCAGCTGAACCTGACTCTGGAATTGTCCGGATTTCAATATCCAGTGCTCAGAAAAGAATGACAAATACAATATTGAGAAGTCTCAGATTGCAGCATGCACTAAAGACCTCACTTTCAAAGCAACTCTGAAGTCAGTTAACTATCCAACTGGAAATCATGTCACTGATAAAGGTCCCCGGAAAGCCAGTCCTCTCAACTAAGGGCTCGGCCCTCTTTGTAACCAAGAGCAGGGCCCCCACACAACAAAGCACCAGAGCGTCCTGAGGAAGGGTCCCTCCTCCAGCTACTCTAAGGCACACGCAGCAGCAACGTCAGGCTCAAAAGCAACCAGACAGAAGCCCTTCTAAAGATCACTGCACTTTAAGTCCTAAACAAAATTCTAGATGCTGGTAACCACTGTCAGAGCAGGCAGCCTCCGTGTGGAACACATTTGGTTCCGCGTGTAAACATCAGCTTTATCAGTCCTAAAGATTAGAAATGACTGGTTCAAACTGCACAGTCCTAGCCCAATGACGAGAGCAACCTGAGGGCAGGATGGACAGTGTGACCTGCACCTAAGCCTCACTTCCTCCTACTCAGTCAGGCCTTGTGAAGGAACTGAGGGTCTTGAGGGGAAATGACCATAAGGGAGGTTTGAAGCAAGGGTTTCACCTTACACTCCAACCTGTCTTGGGAACTCCTATCAATAAATGACTTAATCACGCATTTGTCCTGATGAAGCACAATAGGTTATCCGACCTATGATCACTGCATTCGATCCCTAAATGAACCCAATACCAAGGTGAGATGAAGAAAAGTTTTTAAGTGACAGTTCCAGCTCCCCCCACTCCACCCCCCGCGCCAATATCACAAGAGTCTGACACGATTATAATTCGAGGGTGGGGGGAATATCTACTTGCTCTCGAATGGTGTACTTAAAATAAAGCTTTTAACGTTAAAATTCGCTTGGAGGTGCTAAAGGAAAGGGGATGCTCAGGCCCTGGACATCGAGGGGATGTGGACAGGCTGTCACCTGGGTGGAGCTCTCGGGAGCTGGGCTGTGGGACGCGATGCCCTCGGAAGGCCCACCCGGCGGGGGCGGGAGTTGAGGAGATGCAAAAGACACAGGGGCTGCCCACCCACCCGGCAGAGGATAGGGCTGGAGGGGTAACTCCAGGCCCGATTCTGGACCCCAAAGGCCAGTCCCGGGCGGAGGCAGGGCGGATGTCCCAGGGAGCGCTGCAGGAAATGATATCCAGACTCGGAGGGTGGGTCTAGGAAGCGGCCAGGGCGATGGCCGGGAGTGGGGGGAGTGCGAACGGAGGATGTGGCTCCGGAGCGCAGGACCAGGGAGGCCCGGCGCGGGTACGAGGAGCGAGAAGCGCTGAGGGGCGAGCGGCACCTTACTCACCCCACTCGAGGAACTCCGCCACATACTTGTCGCGGCGCAGCGCCGAGTGGCTGCACTCGGTGTAGAGGCACACCAGCACGTCCAGCAGCGTCTCCACGCTCAGGGCGCTCTCGTTGCGCCACGGCCCGTCCAGGAGCAGCTGCTCCAGCTTCTTGAGCCGCACCTTGGCCGACATGGTGCCGCGCGGCCCGCTCCCCACGCGCCGGCCTCTCGCCGCCCGTGCGCCCCGGCGTCAGGGCCAGCACTCCCCGGCCCAGCGGCCGCGCGCCCCGGCGTCCAGTAGCCGCAAAGTCCTTGTCGTCGCAGCCGGGCCTAGGCCGACATCTTGGGCTCCGTCCCGGCGGCACCGAGTCTGGGGCACCGGGCCCCGCGGGTCCATGGGCCGGTCTCCTCCCCTAGGCGCCGCCCGCACGCCCGCACGCCGTCCCCGCCCTCAGTCGCCTGGCCGCGCCCTCGCGCGCGCCGTCGCCGACCTGGACCGCGGCGGAGCCCGAGCGCAGCAGAAACCCGGCCGGCGCCCGAGCCCCGACCTCAGCCCGCGACCTGCAAGCCAACCAGGGCGCGGCCAGCGCCGCGCAGCCAACCACCGCGGGGCCGACCGCCGCCGCGCTGACCTCAGCGCGACGCCCCGCCCTCGGCCCGCGGCTCTTTGGGCCTTGCGGTTCGCCGTAGGAACGGTGTGGGGCGGGGTGCCGAGTGCGAAACCGAGATTGCGGGTGGCGCACGCGCAGAGGAGCCCGGGCGGGGCGCCGAGCCGCGCTGTATGTGCCCGGGATCCCGTGGTTCGGCTCTACTCCCGGGCCTCCGGACCGACCCTCGTGGCCTAGCCAGGCAGCTGCCTGGCGCGGCCCCAGGAGCCGCTCTGCTGGGTCTCGGTTGCCGCGTCCGAGCTGTAGAGCGACCGAGCCCTGTGCCCCAGTGCGCACGCGAGACGCGGGCGGGGCACCTGCCGGAAGGCTCCGGGACCCGCTGGCCGCGCGCTCCCCCGCGGGCACGCGCCCCTGGGGATGCGCAGTACCCTGCCTCGACTGTTTGAGATTCTGCTCCCTGACTGATCATTAGGGTGTCGGCCTGGTGCGGAGTAGACGGTTGTCTCCAGGCGGGGCGCCGCTTTTAGTGGATTCCGCGCCTGAAAAGGTTGATGTAGAATATCCCTTCGGACAAACCCCGGGCCTCGGCAGAGGAGGAGCCCTTTGTGGATCCCAGGGTCGCTTCCACAGAGTGAGGGCTTGTAGTTCCACGGGGGCAGGTGGGGTTAGGAAGCCGGAAGCTGAGTGGAGCCTGAGGCAAAACGCTGGGTGGAAAGACAGCAGCCGAATGGCGACTCCTGCGCAGGAAGCGACTGAAGGGTCCCTGGAGCCTTCTGGGCTGCTGGGAATGGTGTATGACTTGGTTGGGGTTACACAGGCACACATACGTCTGTGTATCTAGCCTTAGTTTTTAAAACGCAGGCAAAATGGCCCGGTATAGTAGGTTGGGTAGAGCGAACCCTCATCAGAGCAGTATCATTGCGAGGGAATCTATACACATATATAATGTATTCACTAGTTACTGCATGTGTATGATGCCCAGCTTTTAAAATTGTAAAAGAAAGGCCAAGAGGATCTCCCTACCCAAAACTAAAATCTGAGCCCTGTTTGTAGGACAAAGACCTAAAATAGTGTGACCAGACAACTGAATTCCTTTCCTGACCACCCATGCTTCCTTTGTCCCATAAATGTCCCCCATGAGAGAGTGTCTTCTCTGGCTGGCCCTGTCAGCCCAGACCCTCCCACTGGTGTCCCTGAGTCCAGTCTCTGGTTGCTTGCCTCTGAAATATTTAATCCCTCCAAATTAGAACTTTGTACCTGCCCTCCTGTGCCAGTCTGTAGTGCCTCCCCCAGCTACCTTTAGTGTGTCTGTTTATCCCAGATCTGTTTCCACACTGCCTTTTAGGACGCCTTTGGCCCCCAAGACAGAGTGGATCCAGGTGTCCTCTGTAGGCTTCCTCTGAACTTGAAACAGTGGGTCCATATGGGACTTGGTCACTAGTCTGGGACCAAAAGTAAATTAATAAACAAAGTTGTTTCTGTTCCTCAGTTTCCTTGGATGTAAAAAGAATAAGAGAATCTCCTGTGCATTTCAGACAGTTTGGGAAGGGACTCTGAGTAATCACCAGGGAGTACTTTGCCCACTGCCCTGTTCATGCTACTCTTACTTTGGTGGCTGCTCTTGGGACATTAGGGCTAATATTTTAGGAAACAAGGTTTGTGACCAGCTGATGGGTGAAATAGCCTTGGGTACCGGCTCTTGGCCCCTAGACAGAGGCAGCCTGGCTATGTCTTCTCCAGCAACCATGAGAACACACAGTAAACTGTGTGGACTTGCCAGTGTATTTCTGAGCTTTTAGATCAACACACCAACCCTGCTCCAAGTTAACCCATCCCAGCACCTCAAAATGTACACAAAGTCTATGCCACAAGCATAGACTTGGTCCAGAGTGAGGGAAGGTTCCCAAGCATTTCCCTTGATAATCTATATAGGCAATCTGGAGGATTAACTCTCAGATCTTGAGAATTCCGCATAGATGATGTCTAAACAAATGACGGTGGCTCTGTGCCAGTAAAACTGTATTTACAGAAGCCCGTGGTTTGTGGAGCGCAGTTTGCTGACTCCTGCCTCCTAACACCAGCTTTGACAGTAGGGTTTCAAGTCCAGAGACACAAGCCTTGTTTGAGAAAGGGGAGCTGACCACAGGCAACAAAGTTTCCTTTTCTCTCGAAATCAATGTGAGAAAGGGACTTGTAGTATCCTTTCAAATCACAGAGAACGACAGGAGGGAATCCTAAAGAGATGGGAATAAGGAACTATGCAGGCGTGTTTGCTTAGCATGCACCCAGTCCCAGGTTCCTCCATGGCACTGTGTAACCAGGCCTGGAGGCACAGGCCTGCAGTCCCATAATCCCAACATTGTGAAGGCAAAGGCAGTGGGATCCGAAAAGTTCAAGGTCCTCCCTGGCGGCTTCAAGTTCAAAGACAGAATATGTGAGACCTTGTCTGAAAAAAAAACAAGGGGCGACAGAGATCAGAATTACTATTCTACATAAGAAAAATACAGACAAGGGGCTGGAGAGATGGCTCAGTGGTTAAGAGCACTGACTGCTCTTCCAAAGGACCCAGGTTCAATTCCCACCACCCACATGGCAGATAATAACTGTAACTCCAAGATCTGACACCCTCACACAGACACACATGGAGACAAAATACCAATGCACATAAAATAAAATGTTTTTTAGCCGGGCGGTGGTGGCGTACGCCTTTAATCCCAGCACTCGGGAGGCAGAGGCAGGTGGATCTCTGTGAGTTCGAGGCCAGCCTGGTCTCCAAAGCAAGTTCCAGGAAAGGCTCAAAGCTACACAGAGAAACCCTGTCTTGAAAAACCAAAACAAACAAACAAAAAAAAATTTTTTTAAAGAAAAAAATATATAGACAAGATACGTGAAATAGAGAATTCTGTGACAGGAAAAGACAGGATCATAGCAGTGATCCCTCTCCCAGAGATCTTGTTTGCCAGAGATGAATGTTCTGACCCAGCCAGCCAGAGAACTGGGGTGGAGCCCCGTGATCTCCCTTAGGCTTGAAGATGGTTAGGGCTAAGGAGACAGCCACAGCTCCCAGGATAGCACCAAGCTGCAAGGATAGCCTCAGAGCCTTGGGAATCCAGCGGCCTACTTACCAGTGCTCACGGGGAAGAAAACATCCAGGGCCAGGGAAAGAGGCTTCCAAAAGATTAGAGGAATAGTACCTGGTGCACAAACAGACAAAGAGATAATGTTTCTCACGAGCTTGACTAGAAAACCCCGTCATTCTCAGACATTGGATAGAATTCTCAGGAAGGTTACTGTGTTCGGCAGCTTTCTGTCATTGTGAAAAAGTGGCTGAGGAAAAAAAATGGCTTAAGGGGAGAAGCATTTACTGTGGCTCGTGGTTTCAGAAACTTCATTCTATGACCACTGGACTATTATTTCTAGGCCCATGGTGAAGCAGGACATCATGGTAAGGAGCATATAGCAGAGAAAAGATCTTTACATCGTGGCAACCAGGAAGCAGAGAAAAGGAGAGGTAAGAGCAGGTTCCCAGTGTACCCTCCCTGAGCATGCCCACGACGACGACTTACTTCCATCAACCAGGCCCCGTTTGTTAAGGCTTCCATCACCCTCCCCCCGACTGGTGCCACCAGCCAGGGAGAGGGCATTCAACATGTGGGCCTTGGGGGAAATCTTCAGATCCAAATGACACAACTGTGCCTCAGAGGTGGAATCGCCGCTGCTAGACTTCCTAGATAAAGCCCTCGACTGAATATTTGGGATTTAGCTTCATGCAGAGCTCTGGTCTAGCAAGTGTGAGGCCCTGAATTCAGTCCAAAAGTAGAAGGGAAGGGGAAGGGAAAGAGGGCACTAGACAGAGCATACATCCATGTCTGCCAAATAAATCATCAAAACAAGACAAACACCAAACTCTTCACAAATAATTTAACTTCATCCCAGAACAAAGCTACAAAACATTTATTGGAGGCAAAAATACCCAACGTCTCAAATGGCAACATCACAATGCCTGGCATCCGGTCAAGGGTAACCAAGCTTTCAAACAAGCAGGTAGGAAAGCACAGCCCACAGTGAGGAGACTAGGAGTCACAGCCAGCCTCCAGTTTACACCGCGAGAGGATTAGCTGGAGATCCTTTTAATTTTTAATCTAACATCGAATGACGAAAACTACAGCCCCTGAAGTGAAAAATGTACTGTATGTAACTAATGACACATTAAATACTACTTAAGATTCATGAAATTAAAGGTTTAAAACTGGAATTATTCAGAGGGCCAGTGAGGTGGGTCAGCTGGTGAGGGGGCTTGCCCCCCAGCCTGATGGCCTGATAACCTTGATTCCTGGGCCCCACAGGCTGGAAGGAGAGCAGTGACTCCCCGAAGTCGGTCCTCTGACCTCTACCCACAGACATGTGCATGTGCAGGAACACACACACACACACACACACACACACACACACACACACACACACGCGGACTGAGCCCCTGTGAACTCTGTGACAACAGCAGGTGATGAACCAATTGCTGGGAAATGGGACAACCTCAGTGTCCTTTACCCAATGAATGGATAATGAAAACATGGTCATACACACTATGGAACACTATCCAGCTGTAAAGAAAAATGAAATCATGAACTTTGCAGACAAACTGAACTAGAAAAGATCGTATTGAGTGAGGCAACCCAGACCCAGGAAGACAAATGTCCCATGTTCTCTCGAATCCGAGGCTTCTAGCTCCAAATCTTCAGCTATAATAAGCGTGGTTCTCACCTCTCATCGAGGAAACTTCTCTTTGCAATAGACAGAGATCAATACAGAAAACCACAACCAGTCACAATGGAGAACTGTGGCACCTAGTCCCAATGGATACATTTACAAAGCAACTCCTAAACCCAGGGATCATTGCAAAAGGGGGCAGAAAGGTTGTAAGAGCCAGAGGATCAGAGAGTCGCTGTGAGACTGTCTCCCGGGAATGTCAGAAGCAACACCCATCAAGTCTCACCAACATGACTTCCCAAATGTGATCTGAACAAGGACAGCAACAATGGACATGCTAAAGTAGATGGGGTGCAGAGCCCACCAGGCTCAACCCCACACGAGAACTACAGACAACTAAGGACTCTGAGAGCAGGAGACAGTCTTCGCCAGGAAAGAGCACATCAATTGAGTATTCAATGCCAAATGGTCAGCCTTGCAAATATACACATAAATAACATTTTATACAGACTAAGCAGGTTGTATTTATGTATTTGGGAATATATATGTATATAGATATTTATGTATGTAACAACAATTAATGAAAAAAGAGGCCAAGAATTTGAAAGAGAGCAAGGAGGGGTATCTGGAAGGGTTTTAGAGGGAGAAAGGAAAGGGGGAATGGCGCAATTATATTATAACCCCATAAATAAAAAGAATAATTTGTTTTGTTTTTAAAGCAATGTGCCTGGCATGGTTGCACTTGCCTTTTCTTTTCTTTTTTAAGATTTATTTATTTATTATGCATACAGTGTTCTGCCTGCATGTATCCCTGAAGACTGGAAGAGGGCACCAGATTTCATTACAGGTGGTTGTGAGCCAAGATATGGTTGCTGGGAATTAAACTCAGGACCTCTGGAAGAACAGCCAGTGCTCTTAACCTCTGAGCCATCTCTCCAGTTCTGTTGTTGTTTTTTTAAGACAGGATTTCTCTGTGTAGCCTCGACTGTCATGGAACTTGCTCTGTAGACCAGGCTGGTCTTGAACTCAGAGATCCACCTGCCTCTGCCTCCTGAGTGCTGGGATTAAAGGCATGCGCCACCATGCCTGACAAAAGGAATAATTTTTAAGAAAGAAATGACAGTAATTTCCAAACATGTCAAAACTATAAACCCACAAATGGAAGACATATAGTGATATACAAACAAGCACAGGACACAGAACCAGATGCTGTGACTGCTACACCGAGACAGATCACGAAATTCTCCAAACCAGTGATGAAGGTAAAAGAAAAGAAGAACAGCGAGAGAAAAAGGCACCAGAGAGGGCTGGAGAGCGGCTCAGAAGCTGAGAGTGTGCACTGCTCACAACCATCTGCCACTCCAGTTCCAGGAGATCTGACACCCTCTTCTGGTCTCCTCAGGCATCCCTTACACACACACACACACACACACACACACACACACACACACACACACACACACACACATACACACACATACACTGTAGCTAGAGTTTTCCTGCCTGGCCCACAGTCAGGACAAATCTCTCTCACCTGCCAGTCCCATAGCCGCTCAGACCCAACCAAGTAAACACAGAGACTTATATTGCTTACAAACTGTATGGCCATGGCAGGCTTCTTGCTAACTGTTCTTACAGCTTAAATTAATCCATTTCCATTAATCTATACCTTGCCACGTGGCTCGTGGCTTACCGGCATCTTCACATGCTGTTTGTCATCGTGGCGGCTGGCAGTGTCTCTCTGACTCAGCCTTCCACTTCCCAGCTTTATTCTCCTCCTTGTCCCGCCTATACTTCCTGCCTAGCCAATGGCCAATCAGTGTTTTATTTATTGACCAATCAGCAACACACTTGACATACAGAACATCCCACAGCAACACACACACACACACACACACACACACACACACACACACACACACACGGAAAATATAAAGAAAAAAAGGCGTCAGCAAATATCTCATTTGAAGCAACACTCTAAAGCAGCAAAGCGAAAGAAAATTATGACCTAACATTTTATACTCGGCTAAAATATCCCTCAAAATAGAGGGGGAAATATTTCAAAGACGTAAAAACCCACTGTGAAAAAAGAGAAGCAGGATCTTTGGCCTGGGGTTATGCATGTTGGAATTTTCTAGGTGATAACCACAACCTTGCATGGTTTTCTCTGTTCATTTGCTGGGCATCCCTGCAGACTGCCAGTTTGGGGTGGAATCCAGAGCAGCAGCAGGCTGGTGGCCAGCCGCAGGCTTTGTGAAGGCTGCTTGCCCCTCAGCCTCATGACCCAGCATGCTTTGAAAAGGTGAGATTATGCAGATAGCTCAGCTGGTCAAGTGCAGGACACATATTTGGTTCCCAGAACTCACATCAGCTCAAGTGGCAGCGTGTTCTTATAACCCCAGCCCTGGGGAGGCAGAAACAGGAGGATCCTCAGACTCGCTAGCCAACCAACCTAGCTTACTTCTGGGAGTTCCAGGGCAGTGATAGACCATGTCTTTAAAAGAAAAAAGTGGATAGTTCCTGAGAAATGACACTCAAGGTGTCCTCTGGCCTCCACGTGTGTGTGTGTGTGTGTGTGTGTGTGTGTGTGTGTGTGTGTGTGTGTGGTGTGTGGTGTGTGTGGTGTGTGTGTAGTGTATGTGTATGTTTGTGTAGTGGGTGTGTGGTGTGTGTGTATGTGTGTGTGCTGTATATATGTGTGTGTAGTGTGTGTGTATATGTGGTGTGTGTGGTGTGTGTATGTATGTGTTTATATGTGTGTGTGGTATGTTTACGTGTGTATGGTGTGTGTATGTGTGTCTGTGGTGTGTGTGTTGTGTGTGTGTGTATGATGTGTGTGGTGTGTGTATGTGTGTGTGTGTGTGTGTGTGTGTAGGGCAGAGGCCTGTAGAGCCAGCCTGGTAGGAGACCCATTACCCTGGACACTCCAGGGCTGTCGAATAAATCCATTTCTTCTACCAATGACTGTTCTCCTTTTCAAAGGCTCCTACTGGCTTGCTACTCAGTTAGTACTGGCTTAGTAAAGGTGACTGCTTGGCCATGGATACCAAGAAACTATTCAACCCAATTTATCTGCCCATCAAAAAGTCAATGTTATCCACGATACCACAAAACCAGGTATGCATAACAGTGTTCTGCTGTAAAATGACACTGGACCCAGATATGTCTGGAAGAAGTGAGTGAAGGTCATGAGCAGGTAGCATGACGCCCATGGTATCTGCTCCCACTGTTCTGCAAACTCTTCTTACCCCACAGCTATGGCCTCATGGTCAGTCAATACAGGATGGGGCTGGAGTAAAGCTTGCTCTCCAGGGGGTAATGGCCTCAGCCAGTGGTGGTTGGACCCAGTGAGGTAAGTTCCTAAAAGACAACACTGAAGAGAAAGTCTCCCAGAAGGCAAAACTCCATGTCAATTCATAACTAATGTATTATCTAGCCAATCAGAGGCTTTGAAAGGTGCACCCCAGCGGGGGTGGCAATCTGGTTA